AAAGGGGATGATTGATCCAAGGTAGTCAAAAAGACATTTTTCAGATAACAGCATCAACCACAAGTACAAGAATCCCGCGAGATTGTTACCACGTGCACACAACCATAGAGCAAAAAGATATATGTGCACGCCTACACAAGAAAAGTCGTGCGCGCATGTTAGCACAAGAAGACCACACGCACGTGCCTACAAAGCAGGGAGAAGCCCACACCCATGGAAAAGGGGATATTCGTCGTAGGAAAGAGGAATCCTCTTCCTGCGTGAACTCTTACGAGTCTACTAAAGAGGAGATTGATATTTTTAGCACAAGAAAGCTTCCTACATCATCCCAATATCAAGAACAATCCAACAACTTTCAAGAAAATGGACTTGGAGACCTTAGAATAAGAATCATGGTACCCATAGACCCAATCACAAGATCAACGTTCAAGAAACTTCAATAAGCCTTCAATTTTCTTGTTCAAAAATAGTGCATAAGAAATCAAAAAAGGCTTCAGCCATGTGTGAATCTCATCATCCACACATGTGGCCAATAGGAAATAAGAAAGAAGGGCCCCACTCGCACGTGATTCCTCTTCTCATGAAGAAACCGATTCCTCATCTAACTTCTTCTCTTAGAATCTTGAAGAGATCCACTCCTACTTGAAGAAGATAAATAGTAGAAGAGGAAGAATCCAAGAAAAAGCGAGAAAACAAGTTTTAGATAAATAAGAACTCGCATGTTAGAGTTTGAGAAGGAAAAACAATCTTGCCCACATGGGATTCCATACCCAAGTGGGAGTCTGACTTCTTCTCATCACATGTTTTGCATTTTCTAATTTTTGAGTTCCTTTTGGATTAAATTTGTTGCCAAGAAGATATCTACATATGTTGGACATTCCACTTCAAGAAAGATTTGATTTCATCAAGAGAGAAAGAAGATAGAGTCTGCGGAAGAATCGACCAAACCTTCTTATCCTAGTCGAACTCTTCAACCTTTTTTCTACTCCAATAAGGAGATTTTTTCATCCATTAATTAATTAATTATTGAAGATTCAAGCCTATATAAATTGGAACATTCAAACACAAATGGGACACTTCAAACCGTCAAAGAGAGAGAAGTTCTTCTTTTAATTAAAGTTTACCTATTTTAATTTTATTTTAATGTTTTCCTAAATAAGGTTGTGCTAAAAGTTTAGTTAAGATTTTGTTTTCCAATTTCTAATATAATATATATGATGAAAGCTTATATAAAAGTCATACCCCTAGGTTGTATACACTCGATTCTCATATTCATAAAATATTAGTTATTTACTTTTTATCTATTGTTAATTGTGAGTGTTCTATAAGAGGTTCTTCAAACTGTCTTATTAAGTTAGGAACTTGATACATCTATCCAGGTAAGGTCGTAGCATCTTTTCAATTCTGATTTTTTTGTTTCCCTATTACCTTAATTCACCTTCACATAGTTGATTGTGCGTTAAGTAATGAGGGTTTATTAGGGATTTAAGTTTCTGCATGCTAATGTTATATGTGAAGATTTAGATTACGTTATTAATCTTGACTTCTATATCAATAGGTTTGTTATCATATATGATTATGTCAAATAAATTTTAATATATTTATATTGTTTTTTTATAAAGTCCTGCTCTCATATACATATATATCCATTAAGAAGTTTTTAATGGATTTATGATTCAAGGATCTATTCATTATACCCATATTTATTATCCATTATAAAAAAATCAATTAATTATATGGTTATATAATCTTAACCATTATGTGAAATATGAGTATGAAAAACTATTGTAGTTTTCTAGGAATAGAATTTATATTTGTTGCATCTTATTTTAAACAAAAATAAAATTAATAATGTATTTGAACCGTAATTTATGAGACATGAAATGTAATCTTGATAGTTTGATAGCAATAGAAGTTATACTTATAACAAGTTAATTTATTTTATTAAATTTTAATTTTGTATAAAAGAATTATTAAAATAGTTTAACTACATTTTTTAAAAGTACGGTAATAATATTATGTTTCTTACAATTTTATTTGAGATCTCGTGATATAAGTACCAAAAAAGATTCTAACTTTTTAAATTTTTTTATTTTTATATGTAACAAAATTTTAATTTTTAGTTTTATATTAATTCTATAAACCCTATGTATAAAAGAAGATTGTGTATCCATCTAAGAAAGAAAAATATAAACATATATATAGAATTGATTGAAGCCTTCAGAATTTTCAGTGTGAGAAATTGAAAATAGAGTAAGTAAATTTGATGTGTTGTCGGAGAGACAAATATCCCCAAAGCCTTGTGTTGGATTAAAAGACAAGGATCTTTAAATGTGGAAAAGAAACTTAATATAAAGTTTGTTGTTTTGAGGTTTAGATGTCCATTCCATTTTCACCCTTATATTTCTTATCCAATTCTTCCCTCCTTTCAACCCTAGTATTTTTTTTCATGAGATAAGTTTATACACACACACACACATATATATATAATAGCAGAATTTGGTGATAGTGATTTTCTTAAATTTTTAATCATCAGAAAAAAGAAAAAAAAATAGATTTAGAGAAACTTAGTATTATTTCAAGGAAGTTTTCGATAAAAATCGTAATTCTTTAACTTAAGTGATCACGTTCATATTTGGATTTTAGCTTGCCTAATTTGAAACATAATGGACAAGCCAAAGAATTCCATTATAGTTATATCTAAAGGTAATAGAAAATAAAATTTGAATTTAAATTGTTAATTTTATAATTAAAAATGTTGTTTTATTCAGTAGAATTTTTTCGAGATTATCTAAATATTATATTGCATGTAAAGTTTAAAAAAAAATAATAATAATCTCTCCAATTAAATAATTTATTCTACTAAGTTCCGAACTTAATAATTGAGAATATTGTTTATTTTGTTAGAGTTTTTTGAAATTGTCTAATAAAAATACAATCTCTCTAGTTAAATAATTTATTGTAAACAATTCATTAAAAAATTCTAAATTATTTTTGTACATTTTGTGTTGAGATTTCTTAAGATTAGATATGAGAATATGGGTGAATTTCTTATAATCTGTAATTCACTATAAAGAAGATAGTAAAAACTTATAATTACTGAGTTACATAATGAATGAATGTAGAAAATTATAAATACAAAACAAGGACTAAGTGGGTGTGGATTAAATAATTTATCCATCCTGCCTATAAATTTTTTATTAAAAAAATTGACGACTAAAATATTTTCTGAGTATAAAGATAGACATACAACTAATACCTATCTCTAACACTAATTAAGACTGTAGAGGTGTTCCTATCATAATTTGTTGAGATGGTGTCCACAATTTAACCAAAGTAGCATTTTCATATCTTATTAACACCCATAAACGTTCGTGTGTTTTTTTTAATGGATATGAAAATAATGAGACTGGCGTGGGCGACAAAACTTTAAAAAAATTCTCATATTCATAATTTAATTGACCATAGCTTCTGTTAGGGAATATTATACACACAATAAATAAGAAATTTCAATAAAATTCAACTTTTTCATCATTTTAAATTGAAATTTCTCACTCTCTTGACTCAATTAAATAATAATTTTGTTCTTAATGGTTTAAAATCAAACAATTAAAACCAACCAATCACATTTACAGACAATATGAAAATAAGATGTGGGTCAAATACAAATACAAATACCCAACTTATTTAAGCATAAAAAGCTAGTCAGAGAATCCAAAGACGTAAATGTAATAAAGCAAGTAAAAACTTGAGAAGGAAGATGAAAACGCAGCGTTTCAAGTTTGATGATAGCTTTTTCTTCTTTTTTTTTTTTTTTTTTAATATTTTACCAAAGAGCCATACAGATTCTCTCTTACGGCTCCACGTGTGAAAGAATATATATATATATATATAACAAAATGAATTAAAGAGAAAAATACGTCCAAAAATTATATTCACTTCTTCGTTTTTTTATTTAATAAAAAAATATATTAATTCATTCATCATGTGAAACCCAACCTTCTCTTCCTCCACAAGCTCAACTCTGGATCCAGCTTCTCACCGCTTCTCGCCGGTTCCGATTTACACCTTGTGAGTATTATAGGTTCCAATATTTCTTCAAGCTTTGGAGATTTTCTTGAGCTTCCATTCTCAGATTCTGCTTCATTCTCCGACTCACTACTTTTTGAAATGGGATTGAGATTGGGATTGGGATTGCTCTTATCTTCTTCTTCTCTGCTATCTCTCTCTGTTCTTTCTTTGTCTCCTTCACTTTCCAGCGGTGATCCCCAAAATCTCCCCGCCAAGGAAGATGACCTGTACGGCGCAGATCTACATCTGGTTAACAACAAAGCGTTTCTGGGTGGTGTAGGAAACGAAGGTACAAGGACCTTCCCTACTGGGTCTTCATCATCTTCATCTTCATCTTCTCCGTGGCTTTCTTCTTCTCCAAATTTGGGTTCAGCATTTGACGAATGTTGTCTAATTTTGGATTTCCTGCCAAAACTCCCACGAAAGAAGGATACCCATTTGTCCCAATTTGGTGTGAAGGAGTTGGGATTGAGTTTTCGGGTACAAAACAAGGCGTTTCGGATCCACTTGCATCGACGCTTAGTTGGAGCAGTAGGATTTTTGGAACGCTTGACCCGCACTTGACCCATGCATGTGACCTTAGGAGAAGTGGGTTCTTGAGTTTCAATGCCGGTATTCTTCTTACGAACAAACATGGGACTTGAACGCGACCTGCCTCTACTTCTGCTTCCAACATTGCTCCTCAAGAAACGCATTAATGGCGGTGGGTACTTGTCGGGTCGACCCGGACTGGATATGGGTTTTGCAGAAATCTTCATGTTGTAATCTCTGTTGAAGTGATGAAACGGTGGAGATCTAGATACAGAGGTTCATGAGTTAGTTTTCTGGTAAGCCGAGCAGACTTTTAATGGAAGAGAAGAGAGAGAGAGAGATGAAATGATTTTTATTGCACGGATGGTGAATCCATTGCTGAGATTTTTGTATTTGGAAGTTGTAGGGTTCTGTTTGGCCTGGCTTGTCTTTCGAGGCATTTATTCATTTTTCTTATAATTATTTTATTTTTCTTTTCTTTTTTTTGATAAGATAAAACCGGTAGAAGATAAATTATCTGATTTTTGAGGTTATCATATATTTAGGATATTTTGAAAATATAAAATTTCAGTTTATATAACAAACATATTTATCAACTGAAATGGGTATTAAATATATATTATTTTAAATTATGATTTTATCAAATAATATTACAATAAAATAATTTTATTTGAAAATTAATTTCTAAAAAATTTACCAGAGATGATAAAAAAATGGGTATTTTCCCAAAAAAAAGTTTATATTTTAATACTTGCATCAAATTATTCCATCCTCCTCCCACATTTAGAAATTTTGGAACAAAAAAAAAACAATTAAAGAGAAGAGAAAAAAAAAAAAAAAAAAAGGAAAAGTAAGAGGAGGCAGAGAAAGGGTAGTGATTTGAGTAAAGAAAGAAAAAATAAATGGGTCAAAAACAATTATTTTGTACCTCAACCAAACAAAATTTTCCATAACAAATTTTTTTAACAAATACTAATTTAATACAATTAATAAAATATAATTTTTTTGATAATATCACTAGCAAAAAAAGTAGAAAACAAAAAAAAATTGATTCTGCAAATGAATAATTAAATATATTTAAATTTTAAAAAAATTAAATTTTCTGAATCATTTAGGGAAACAACATAAACATAAATTAAGTGGGTTGATTATTTGATTCCAAACCCACTTCTTTTCACTTCACCTGGTAGAAGAGATATCATTTTCAGGTGGTTTAATCAAAATAATTCAATGACCTCTGATAATATATATATATATATGTATGTACTTTTGTTAAATATATACATATATGACTATGATAATCATGTGTAATGTTTATCAAATAAATTAATCTAAAAACAAATCCTACTCATAAAATTAATTAGTATCATTCTAATCCAATAACCAGAAATTGCTTTAACTTTTTCTTTTTCACAACTGTGTTTGACAATGATTAATAACGAAAAATAGAAGAAGAAAGAGAAATTTTAAATAAAAGGAACTAAAATACATTATTAATTTTTATAACTAAAAATATGAAAATGAATAAAATAAAAAGGAGTTTCATAAGTTTGCTTGGTTTAGGTGTCAAGAAAAGAAAACAATTAATTATTAAAATATTTTAATTATACTTTTAAATATTAATAAAATGGCATAATAGACATTTCAATATAAAATAAACCATTTTTATATTTAAAAACCTTTGTTTTTTTGGGTCTTTTCTCTGAAACTTCATGTTTATGCATGAAAACATATCATGTCATATGTGGTGATGCAATAATAGATCAAAGAAGTTCACTTCATAAATCTTACTCTTTCTATTATATTCACCATGATTAACCCTTTAGATTTCTCTGTGTTTTAAATCAAAACTTTAATCTAGTCAAAGTTTTTATATTACAGTCACAATTGTATAAATAATCATTAGAGAAAATAAGAGAGACATATTTTCAAGTGCATAGTTTAATTGAAAGTAAAATTTTAAGAAACACACTTATTTGAATATTTTCAAATATTACAGCAATATTTTGAACATTTTAACTCAAATAATTCTAACTTTTAGAAGATAAAAATATGAAATTTAAGTAGAGATTTATTATTATTATTACTATCATTATCATCGAATGTATGTATTAAAATATTTTATTAGTGGAAGCATATGAATAAAGAAACATAAAGAGACATCTAGTTAAACATTTGGTTTTGAGTTCATAAATTGACTTATAAATTCAGTTCATAATAAACAAACACTCAAATTTGCTTATTGTAAATCAAACTAGCCTATTTAAGTTGTCAGAAAAAAAACTAAAGTTATTCAAAAACTTCCATTCACTTGTCCATCTAACTATGAAGTAACATGCCTTAAAAATGGTATTTCTAAGAGCTCTTTGGTTTGCCCTAAAAAAATTAGTATCTAAGATTATAAGCTTATAAAGCTTATTAACTCCTAAAAATAAGTAGAAAATCTGTTATATTTAATTTTGAAACTCAATGTAAATAATAAGCATTTAACTATAAAAAAAGCTAAAAAAGATGGAAAATTTGGTAATTCTTACTGAAGTCATTTTGGTAACAAAGTTAAAAGAAAAAATTAGACTTTATTGCATAACTTAATAAGCTAAAAATGTATATTTTATCTTTTTCTTCTCAAACCAATATGTAAACTAATTGAAAGAAAATAATAAAGACACTAACTTCCTTAACTACCATTGTTCATCCATTCCCCGACAGGCTTCTAACCAGTACGCTTTTGCTTGCCTTCAACTTACAAAACTAAATTTTTCTTTTTAAAAAAAAAAAAAGAAAAAGAAACAAATAAGAGAAAAGAAAAGAGTGCATCTGAAACTAGGGTTTGGTCGTCTGAGCCAAGCAACCCACAAGAATAATGCTCCAATGACAAGTCGAAAATGCAGTGAAGAACAGAACATGGAATGGGGCAAACTGGGGCCACCTGGATGGAAAAATTGTAAGCCTGCCATACCCCACCATTCTATTATATATCACTTCATAACCAACCGCCATTGTGTTATATATCACTTTCTTTCCAATATTTGCCTTCCACGACACAACAAACCAAGAGATTTCATCAGAACCAATATAGTAATTTCAACAATATGAATGGCCAAATAGGGTAAGCTTATTCCCACCCGACAAGGAAACACAAAGTCAAGCTTGGTTACAGGCTTCCTATCTAGCACTAACAAATGAACATGACTATGGAGGTAGGGCTTAGCCTAAGTCAAAATGTTGTCATTGAGTCGGAGCAAGCAATAGTCTTGGCTCCAGACACTAGGCATAGATATTAAAGATAACATACAAAGAATTACATGCAAAATATTATAAAGCAAGGAGGATGACTAAAAGTTTTGAATTCTAATACTAAAATAATAAAGGAGTACCTCAAATTTTTTTTTTTTTTAACGAAAACAATCAAACATTACCATTATATAATCTGAGTAAGAAAACACTAAATATATCCTCACGGAAGATGCTCAGAAACTCAGGAGGGCGTTGCAGTAAGGAATGGCAATATGCACATACCTCAAGTTTTTATACACAGGCAATATGCACGTTAGGGACTAAATGCGAGGTTGATTTTCTGAGGCGCCCACATATTGTATTAAATCTGACGGCAAATAATTGGTGCGTTATTAAGTTACCTTCTCAACTAACAAGATAGGTGATGTCAGTTTAAATCAATAGGTCTCTTCATCCCTATCACAGACTTTCTTGGCTCAGAAGATCCTGTATTGATATGGTGCTCCCATGTGTTGCTGAGCTCCTGCTCCTCTTTCAGCTCTGCTTCATCATCTGAGTAACAAATTCTAGGCATTAGATTGACCAGCACTGAAGGCTATAGATGCAAAGTCTCAGGGATGGGAATGGAGGTATATGATGAGTTAGCTGCATAGAAAAACCCACTTTAGTTGAAGCAATTAAGTAATTTCAAGCTTTTTTATTTTTTTTCTTAAATCTTATTGATAATTTATTGAAAAAGCCCATCAAATGTGTATTGACTATTTTAATTGGTAAAATCATTGTTGTGGTTCATGAGCTCCCCTGGAAAAAATCATGTAACCTATACGCCACCAAAACAAGGAGCATGTTGAATGTATTGAGAAAAGAAATTCCACCTGAGACTGTTGATAGAGAGAATTCAGTCAGACGTCTAACACAATCCTTCAATGCTTGAAGTTCAGCTTCCTTTTGAAGGATCTTGGATTGTGCTTTCTGCAATTCAGATTCCAGCTCCTCAATTTGGTTTTTCTGCTGTTCAATCAGAACATGGCATAGTTTCTTATCCAGTTCTGTTGGCAACACTCCATGGCACTGAATAGATTCAGAACCCGGCTCCAACAGTGCATGAAATCCATTGCCAGAAACATCAGCCTGTACAACATTTATCTGGTTAACTGGACGATTTTATAGTTTCAGAAAGAAGAAACCAAGGACACCTTAAAGGGAGAGATTTCATCATCAAACCAAGACCTCATGCCAGAAAGAGCAGAGTTATTGGTATTCAGGATGAGCAAAATCTTTATACCTATCAGTAATGAATCCATATAAAGTAATATAAATATTACATGAATCCTATCTATCATTTTTAGGTCATAATTTCTGCATCTCTTTAACCGGGGGTAATAAAAATAATAGATCAGTATGTCAAGAGAACAAA